CTGGCAGCTTGAAAATCACAGTGGGTACATGTGCGTATGTGTCAAAAATCCTGAGCAGTAACTAGAGAATAAGGGGTTGTGGTGTGGCCATTCCCCCTGGGGAGTGATTTCTTACTTTCCCTCTCTGTCCCTCTTGGTTTCTCAGTCTCTCTCTGGTGAGTGTGCACACCCTATGGCAAAAACCTAAAAAGAAAAAAGAAATGAATGTATGTTTCCTCATTGTTGATAGTGAATAGAACAGTTTATCTGCCATCCTGGTCAAGTTTTCATCACCCTCTCTTCCTTCCCTGTTTTATTTTTTTTTAATGGCCATGTCTATTATACAGTAATAATTTGAATGCAATTAGTTTACTCATTATAAGTATACAGTTTGATTATTTTATTCCATTTATACAATTGTGCAACCACGACCACAGTGCAGTTTTAGAATGTTCCCCCCCCCAGACTGACTGCTCATTTCTAGTTACTTCTCCTTCCGTCCAGCTCCCTCCCGTCTCTATTCCCAGCAACCACTGACCTACTTTATTTCTTTAGTGTTGCCTTTTCTAGAAATTTACTATACATAGAACCAAACAAAATAGAGTCTTCTGTGCCCAGCTTCTTTCACTGAATCTAATATTGAGGTTCATCTGTGTTGTTGCATGTACAGGTAGTTCATTCCTTTTTGTTGCTTAGCAGTAGTTCATTATTTGACTGTTTCACATTTCATGTGTCTGTTCACTAGCTGAGGGTCATTTGGATTATTTCCAGTGTTTGGCTATTACATATAACACTGCTGTGAACTTTCACATGTAAGTTTTTATGTGGACCTATGTCATCATTTTTTGTTTGTTTGTTTAGTTTGATACCTAGGAGTGGAAGTGCTGGGTTGCATGATATAATTATATTCAGATTTTTTTTTCCTTTTTTTTTTTTTTGAAGAGATTTTTGCTATAGGGCGTGTGTGCTTGCCAGACAGACAGAGAGAGACATAGAGACAGAAAGCGAGAAATCACCCCCCAGGGGGGGAATGGCCACGCCGCAATCCCTTCTCCTCCATTCTCCTCTCGGGATCTTGGGCACGCACGCACGCACATGTGCCTGGCGTGAGTTTAAGCCACCGGGTCCGGGACTCGAACTGCGGTCAACTACGTGGCATTCCAGCAACATAGCCATTACGCTAACTGCTGGTCCCCAGATTTTTGAAAAACTGTCAGAGGTTTACAGAGTAGCCATATGATTTTTCTTTCCTACCAGCAGAGTATGCGGGCTCCGTTTCTCCACCTTCTCAACACTTAGTAATTTTTAATTACAGCCATTGTAGTGGGTGTATAGTGCTATTTCACGGTGGTTTTAATTTTTTTTCCCTATAATGATTAATGCAATTTAAAATATTTCCATGTACTTATTAGTTACTCGTGCATCTTCTTTGATATAGTGCCTATTTTACCGTCTTGTGCCCAGTTTTTAGGGGGTAGTTTGGCCTGTCAGTGTTGAGTTGTAAGAGTTCTTCATGTAATCTGAATACAGATACTTTTTCAGCTACATGACTTATAGAAATTTTCTTCCAGTTCATGACAGCTGTTTCCATTTTCTTTATTTTTTTCTCCCAAGTCTATTTATTTATTTCATGAGAGAAAAAGATAGAGATAAAGAAAGATACCCCCAGTAGGGTCTTCATGATGCACTCTACTCCCACTCTCAGCCAGGCCAAAGTATAGGGAGGTATGTGCATATCCCATGTGCTCAGGTATGTCCTGGGAGGTCACCCAGGACTTTTCCCATGTTGGTCCAGTTGCACTACCACTGCACCACCACCTACCTGGTCCTTTCCATTTAAGATTTATTTATTTTTAAATTTTATTTCTATTTGCTATAGGGCATGTACTCTCACCAGAGAGAGACAAAAAGAGAGAGGGAGGAAAGGTGAGAAAGCAAGTCGCCAGGCCCAGGACTCAAACCACGGTCAGCCGTGTGGGAGTCTAGCACCTTGACCACCATGCCACCTGCTGGCCCTCCCTTTCCATTTTTTAATGATATTTTTTGGGGAGAAAGCTATCTTAATTTATACGACGTACAATTTATCATTATTTTCTTTCATAGGTCATGCTTTTGGCGTAATAGCTAAGAAATATTTGCCTAAACTAGGATCACAAAGATTTCCTTCTACTTTTACCTATAATTTTTCTAGAGCTAGCATTTAGATTTAGGTCTATGATCTAGCTTGAATTAATTGTCGTATATGGAGTGAGGTAGGAGCTTACTTAGATATGAATATTCAACTGTTCCAACATCATTTTCTGGAAGGACTTCCCCTTCTCCATCAAAATGTCTTGGCACTTTGTTGAAAATCAGTTAACTGTAAATGTGTGGATTTATTTCTAGACTCTCTTCCACTGATCTATACGTTTATCCCAGTGCTAGCCCCATGCTGTCTCGATTACTTACAGCTTTCTAGTAAGGTTTGAAGTCAAATAGTATACATCTTTCAACTTTATCCTACTCTTCTTGTCCAAAAGTCTTTTACCCTTCCAGGTCCTTTGCATTGCCATGTAAATTTTAGGATCAAATTGTTGGTTTCTACAAACAATTGTACTGAGATTTTGTTAAGCTTTGCACTGAATCTATAGATCAGTTTAAAGAGTTGGTCGAGTCCTTTAGCAGTGTACACATTTACAAATATGGTTTCTACAGCACTGTTAAATCGCAAAGAATGTTTTGAAGTTTTTATACATAGTTCCTGTTTCCTCATTTCCTTTCAAAGAACTATGTAAAGCCGGTATGCATTCACCCCAAAATGATGCACCCTTTTTAAATTTCTTACCCTCATCAAGGAAGGGAGTTACTGCTCTCTTTTATGTTGTGAGCAGGTGGTCAAAAGAAACTAGACCATTAGAGGATAGTGATTTAGCTTTCTCTAAGCTAGTCTCCTTACTTGGAAAGACAAGCTGCCAACCCTCCTTCTGACACATACGTGTTTGGAGCGGAGTCTGTGAGCTCAGAGGAACCGCATTTGGTAAAGCAGTGGGGCTGTGGTATTTTCTCCTCTGCACATTAGCTTTGCACAGACTTGTGTAGTGCCCTGTGGGCTTTGTGAAAGCTGTCTGGGCAGACTGATTTATTCACCTTTGCCTAGGATGTGAGCTTTAGGCCAAGGCACACCCTCATTAGCCTGTCCATCTGTGGCGCTGCATCAGGAAAACAGTCTCCTGGAACAGGTGAGTGTTCAGCCTGGAGATCAAGCTGGACCAGTTACATTAGAAACCTCTCCCACTTCAGGGAGAAAAAACAGTGGATGCAAAAAGGCTGAGTCAGCCCCAGCAGCGCCTCTCTGCAGAAGTAAACAGGGAACTTGCGTGATTCTGCCTCTCCCTTCCCACCCATGCACCTGCCAGATAAGCAGCACAGCCTTGTTACTCCCTTCGACTTCCTCATCTCTCATCAGGGTTGGGGTTTTGGTACAATCCAGGCTGGTGTTTCACCAGTTCATAATGATCTCCTAGATTCATTTCAGTGCTTACAAATTTTTTAAAAAGCTGATTTTAGGGCCCCATCTCAAAGATATTTAGCCCATCTTTAAAAGGTTCCTTGGGTGTTGCTTGTGCACAGTAAGGTTAGAGAACTCAGAGTTTAGGCCAACATAATGTGCTCCAAGAGCTGTGTTTGGAGAGGCTTGGGTGTCAGAAAGCAATTTGTTTATTCCTTTGGGGATAATAAGCACCATCTCCAAATCCAATTAGATCTTGAAAAAACTAGACCTGGACCTTAGACCTTGGCAATTTAAGTTCCCCTATGGAAATGACTTCATTCAGTGATCTTCAGGCTACGCCCTTGGTATCTCTCAAGGGTCTGTAGAAGAAACAGTAACTTGAGCACTTCTACCATCCGTAATTATTATGAGAGATGTTTTTCCTGTTCGTAACTGAGGTTCCCTGTATGACAATTCCCTTGCAATTTTTAGGATGCAGTTTAACTTGGTCTTTAAACATGTGGGCCTGGATTCAAGCCTCTTGAGTTTGAAGCCTACTTCTGTCTTCTGGAAGCTTTGGAGGAAGGGTGGTAAAAATAATTTAGTTTATCTCTTTATTTTTATTTTTCCTTTCTATTTCTTATATTAGGCCATGAGAAAAGTCATGACATATTTTTGCATAGAAAAACATAAAAAAAATACATCATGAGTTTTCCAATCACCCTATCGAACAAGACCATAAAATAGCTCCTACCTCGAAGGACGAGCTGCTGGGAGACAAGCCACTGAAAGCAGCAGTCCCTGATCTTTTTTGGTATCAGGCGTCCAGTTTTTGAAAGACAATTTTTCTTTTCTTTTCTTTTTCTTAAATTTACAATATAATGGGTTTGTATTTAATATAGTACTTCTCACCATGGGAATGTAACCCAGTCAATTAACTAATATATAAAGTTTTTTATTTACATTAAATCTCCTCTCCATTTCAAAGCTAAGATAAAGGTTTTTTTTTTCATTAAATATCTTTTCCATTTTAATATTAGACACACTGAATGCATTTTTCTAAACTTTTGTCCTCCAGAGATTAAAGTTCCAATTTCTGGCTCATTGATATCTAAGTACAATATGAACTTGAGAGATAACAAAACAAAAGTCCAATAAAAATACAGAGATAGGCTTCTCATTAGTTCAGGGGACAGTGATCACAATGGAACAGTTGGCAACATCCCTAGATTCTAAGCAAGAACTTCTTTATTTCATGTGCTTGAGAATACCAAGACTATGAAATATTACTTATGTAAATGTTAGCCATCTTACTTCTTTGTCCTCCTTTTTAATCAGCAAACACAAATTATAGGCTGCATTTTTAAGGGCATTAATTGTTGTAAAAAAATGTTTTTTGCCACTAAGACATCAATTTGTCCCCATTTTGGGGGAAAGAGCTAAGAATATGAAACTACTCTGTACCATTTGGGGGACCTTTCAGACCTGGATGCTCAGGCTGAGCTTCAACTGCACAAAGGTTTTCAGAGCGCAGCTTGATTCAGGAGGCCCTTCAGAGTCCTAGCTGTCCATTTCTCTCTTGTGCACGTACACCTAAGCAAGCGCAAATGCCTGTGATGCTGAGGACCACCCCTGACAAGAGCACAAGGGCAGCTACAGCTTCCACTGCTTCCACAACAGGCCGCACCCAAAGCAGTGAGAAAAGCCCTAAGACCAACTGTGTTCGAAGTGAGGTCATGATGTTGGGATCTTGAGGGCTGAAGGTTCCAAAGACATGGTATACATCTACAATCCTATCTTAGTTGAGATATTCCCTTCCTGGAGCTCGGATGCTAAGACTAAAAGGTTCCACAGGACACCACCTCCCAGGAAGCAGCCATTACAGGAATTAGCAGACAGTTTTTCTGTGGACCAGGTCAGAAGTGATGGTTTGGGGATGATTCAGGTGCATTGCATTTATTGTAAACTTTATTATTATTGCATTGCAATAATAAGGACCAGTACTAGTCTGTGGCCTAGAGGTTGGAGAACCCTGCTTTAAGTATTTGGAACTTCAGCCTACAATGACCATTAATCATTTAGACCTTCCCTTTCTAGTGACAACTGTATGTGGCCATTTTTTTTTTTAAACAGCGAGACTTTTATGGCTCATCATTTTCTTGTTGGCCTCACCTACAAAGAAGCTCACATCACCATAAACACATTTGCCTGAGTTGAGGGTCTTTTGATTTTTAGAGTTTTCAGTCAGTTATGTTTAAATCATGGCCATCTCAAATTAGCATATGCAAGTCCTTTCTGGAAGTAGGCAGGGCTTAATGTATAAATGGATGAAGACTGACCTCCAGGATCATCTTCCAGGGCCCCAGCACTCACATTAAGAATAAAGACTACAAAAGAAAGGGGATAAGGAGAAACTATTGGGTCATCGAGAAAGTCGTGATGCATTTTTGCATAGACAAAGAAAGAAACATACGTCATGACCTTCCCAACAATCTCATAAAAGGGTAGTGAGCAGCTGAGGTTCCAAGCAGATGATCAGACAAGCAGATGATCTGTCCAGGGATGAGTTCTGTACTTACAGCTCTTTTCTGTGTCCAGCCTCCTATCACAGTAGGTAGGGAGCTTAGTCTGGGCATCAGAATTCTTCCTATCTGACACTATGGAGTCATTGCTTTCACTCCATTGTCTGCCCCTAAGAATGTCCTTAGTCTATTCAAATTGCTTTTCTGGTAACACTGCTATGTGAGCTTGTAGAGGTGAGGGGTTTCACACAGAAACAGAATTTTTCAGCCGAATGGGAGTTGAAGCTGTCTAGTCCTGTGACTAAGAGAAGGTGAGTTAGTCACATGATTGGGGTCCCATGGATAACAGATTAAGGGGGTACTCACACCTCCTGATTCCAAATCTCGTAGCTTTTCCTTTCATCCATGTCCACAATGACTCCCGAGCTCCTTTCCGTCTTCTAGACAATGGATTTCATCAAAACTTTGGTGCTACGCACTGAATTTTGCCTCAGAGTAGATGTTACCTTCCCAGAACACTACTTTGTGTGCTAAAATTCATACTTCAAGTTAGATATTAACCGAATAGCAGTAATAACCACCAACATATGATTTGATCAGCACTATTAAAAATTGTTAACACTTTTGAATGTGTAGGCAGATCATTTGTAACACTCAGCTAAATAAGCACATTGTTCATTGACCGGAGAGTCCGGTGCTAGCTAGCATGTAGTCTTTTAATATGCATTTTTGAAAACGTGAAGTGCAGAAATGAGGTTATGGTTATTTTAAGTAGCGGGATACAAAGACAGATGAAGGATGGTGACAGAGAGCTCTGGTAAGCTCCAGCAGCACATGTGACCTCTCAGGCTCAGATGTAGCTCGAGGTGACAGTTGTGTGCCTGGAGCCAGGCACCAGGTAAGCCTCTGCTCACACAGCTACCGGCCACAACAAACCCCTCTGTGCTTTAATAGTTCGCAATCAGTAGCCTTCTCTCGACAATGAGTTGGAGGTTTATTGTCTGTTGCTTACACGTGGGTGCGGTTCAGTCGTTTGTTTTGCTCATGGTCTGAAATACTTTATTTCTAAAAAAAAAAATGACTCCAATTTAAATTATTTCAATTCAGCTGCATTCAGTTTTGGTTAGTTTGCATATAATTGTGTGCCTGTGTCCAGCTTTGACACTTTTCCTGGCCCTGTGCACAGGGGCTTATCTGTGGCCCATCATGGGTGTCTGTGTAAGGAGAAGTGAAACAGAGCTGGGGGTGCTCACCTATGCAAAGGAGGAGAGGCAGCAGTATCCTTGAACCTCTAACTAGGGAGCCCCTCAGGCCTGCACTGCCACAAAACAGAAAGGCTGTTGAACGGCTGTGAGATTATCTTCTGAGTCTGGCTCACTGACTTTCTTGGCATAGTCAGTTTTGTGGGATGAGACAGATGCATGGATCAAGACTGATGTCCCTGGCAGTAAGATGGGGAAGATGGAGTTCTTTTCTTTTTTTTTTCTTTTTTTTTTTTTGTTTTTTGAATTAATTATTTTCATTTATTATTTTTTAATTTGCTATAGGGCACACGTGCTCACCAGAGAGAGAGAGAGAGTGAGAGAGAGAGCAAGCCACCAGTTTGGGACTTGAACTGGTTGGCCATGTGGGAGTCCAGCACCTTAATTACCATGCCACCTGTTGGTGGGGTTATTTGTTAGCAGTGGGGTTATTTCTTAGCAGTGGTTTTGGTAATTTACAAAGCAAAGTCCTGCCATAGTAGCTTCCATCCATCTAGTGTGACAGTTGGTATGACACACTTAATCTTCTAGGCCTGTCCTCAGGAGAGGGTGGGCATCCAGACGGCCTTCTAGGAGCACCCATACCACAGGAACAAGCCTTCTTTTAGTGAATGGCCTTAGGGCCATCTCTGGAAAGAGAGGGCCAGCTCTGCAAAGAGTGATTATGTCATTGTTCCTGTCTTTCCTGTTATCATCTGTGATGTGTCACCATTTTGCAGATATCGTTTCATCATTCACCCCAGCATCACTATGAACTAGTTACAGCAGTGAGGTAGCTCCAATTTCTGCCTGGTTATCAGTCATCATACTAGTTGCGACCATGTGCTCCAGAGCCAGCCAGCCTGGCATCCCAGAACCACCCCTTCTCACTGTGGGACTGTTACGTTTCCCAAGGCCTCAGCTGCCTCACCTATACAGTAGGGATAATAATGGTTCTTTCCTTCTTAGGTTATCATGACACAAATTGACCAAATGTTGATGAAGTATGTAAACAATAACTGACAGAGAATAATCAAAATGAAAATCATTATCACCACCAGCATCACGACCATCTGTACTTCATGATAGCAATGCCAACAGTTCTAGTACAGGCTGAGGTAAAAACTCAAATCCGGGTAACCTAACTCTAAGAGACATGGACTTTTTTCCTCTTGGTCTTTGGGTTCTTATTACAGAGTGACATCGAAATACATTCCTGTTATGAAAGCTAGAGACCATACAGAAGGCTACAAAGGAAAATGGGAGGGTCATTTCCCTTACTCTTTCTCCCCGCCCCTTTCTCTGTCCAGCACTGACTTATGATGAGCTCATTGGCATGCATTCTTCTCCAAGTGGGACCAACATATAAAATCAACACACATGTACATGCGTGTCCTCTCTGACATAAACACTAATAACAGATCTTGCCTTATACCATGAGGGGGTTAAATAAAATAATGCCTTTATAGCATTTTTAATGTGGAGCCAGGTAATATACTAGGTTCCTAATAGTCCCCTCAGCAATTACATGAGGTATGTACTATTATTCTACCCATTTTTTATATGTGGATAATTGGAGTGTCAGTTTTACAAGCTCACACAGTACTAAAACTGGATTTAAATCCAGTCAGACTTATGCCAGTGCAACATACTTTTCTTAAAAGTGTATTTCTTCTATGATCTAGAGGTAGAGAGGAAAAGAGAGAAAGAACGAACTCTCAACAGGGTCTTGATGCCACAGTCCACCCCAGCCTCAGTCACCCTGGATCATGGGCATGGGTGGCCTGGCGTACTCAAAGAAATCTCTAGATATGAACCAAGAACCTCACATGTGGGTTGGCCTCACAGAGTGTCACATTTTGTCAGTGTGTCATTGTCTGGCTCCATCACATTTTTGACCACTACTTTATATAACTATATATATTTTTAATTGCCAGAGGGTGTGTGCACTCATGAGACAGAGCCGGAGACAGAGACAGAGTGGAGAAAATCTCCCAATGGGAAATAGTCATATTGCATCCCTTCTCCTCCATTTCTCCATACTGTCAGGATTTGGGGCACACATACATATATGTGTAGCATGTTTTTCCAGCCACCAGGGCCAGGATTTGAACTGTGGTCAGTCACATGGGATCTGGCTCCCTTAACCACTAGACTATAGGGTTAGCCCAATGTGGCTCTTTCGAAGCCACTATGTTTCCACTTGTGTGGTTTTTTTTTTTTTTTCTCCTTGTAATATTAGTATAAACTCATTTTTTTTTTTTAAGAATTATTTAACTTTATTTATTTATTTATTTTGATTTGACCAGAGAGGGACGGACAGAGAGAGAGAGAAAGACAGGGAAAGTAAGTCCAGGACTTAAACCGTGGTTAGCCATGTGGGAGTCCAGCATCCCTAACGGCCATACCACCCTGCCAGTCCCTTTCCTTCTTTTAATGGCTACACATCACTCTATTTTATTTAAAGACTTCCTTAGATTGTTTTCTTTCTCTTGAGTTGTCGGATAAGTCATGATATATTTTTGCATAGAAAAACAGAAAAATGCATGGTGACTTTTCTGACAACCCAATATTTTTGTTATTCTTTGCTGTCATAAAACAGTTGAAATCTTGGGGACCACAGGTGACGTAGTGGTTAAGGGCACTGAACTCCCACATGGCTGACCACAGTTCAAGTCCCAGACCTGGCAGTTTGCTTTCTCACTTTCTCCCCCCACCCCTTTCTCTTTCTCTCACTCTATCCCTCCATGGTCAAAATTTTAAATAAGTAATAATAAATAAAGTTAAATTAAAGTACCAAATCTCTTTGATACATATATGTTTGGGTATACACGTGTGACAAATTCACTAGGGTAGCTTCTGAAAAGTGGAATTTTAAGTCGGGGGGGGGGTCTCTGCATATGAAATTGTAATTGGAACTGCTAAGTTGCCCTTCAACTGTGTATGAGAATTCCGATTCCTCACATTAGACATCTTCCTGTCCTGCCAATTTGATCAATGAGAGTATTCTTTTCAAAATTATGTTTCCCTCATTAGTGGCAGGGTTGAGCTAATTTTTTGGGTCAGCTACATTTGCTCTGGAAATTGTCTTCCCTATATTGCCCTTAATTTTTCATTTTAGTTTTTATATATTCTGATAGTTTTTACATATTCTGAATAATAATTCTTTGTCTGAATACATGGCAAGTATTTTGTCTCTGCCTGTTATTTCTCCTTTAATTTTGTTTTACGTCTAGAGGTTTTTATTTTTCATGTACACGTTAGCCAATATTTACCTTTCTTGTTGCAGGTTATGCCTTGCTCAGATTTTGCCTTCCTACCCCAAGGTTACTAAAATAGTCTCCCATATATTCATGTAACACTTCCATTGTTTTGTTTCCACTTTGCCTTTGTGAGATCTCTGGAATTTTAGAAATCAAAATTTAGCTTTCTCTAAGTGGAAAACTAATTATCATTACCATTTATTTGAATAATCCCATTTTATGAACTCATTTGAAACAGCTCCTTTATCAAAAACTAAATTCTCTAATGTATCTGGCTATTTAACTGATTTCTTCTTTTCTGTCCCATAGGTTTAGTTTTTATTCCTACACAAGTATTGAAGGACTTTTTAAAATTATTTTAACCTTAGAATACATTTTTATAGCAGGAAGAGGAAATTCTCTCTCATTGCTGCTTTTGTTTTCCCCCCCAAAAATGTCTCTATTGTCATGCATTTTTTTCTTCCACATGAACTTACAGAAGTAGCCTATCAAAACCTATAAAGGGTTGGGACCAGCAGTTAGCGTAATGGCTATGTCACTGGACTCCCACATAGTCGACCGCGGTTCGCGTCTGGGACCCAGTGGCTTAAAACTCAGGCCGTGCGCATGTGCGTGCGTGCCCAAGATCCCAAGAGGAGAATGGAGGAGAAGGGATTGCAG